AGAAATGGAAGACTCTGTTGGATCGTTACGAAGGCGGCTTTTTGCTGGCACGGCTGGTAAAATTCACCACAGAGAATTTTGTCACCGAAGAACAAGCCAAAGATGTGGAGAGCTTCTTCGAGGGCCATCCGACTCCGGGCACCGAAAGAACGGTGCAACAGTGCGTGGAGTCCATTAGATTAAATGCTGCATGGCTCAACCGAGAAAAAGACTCCATCAGAAAATATCTGACCACTCAAGTCTAGTAAAGATAATTCCTTATCTTTTCTCCCCGTTATACCTTAATAGGACATTGACATAATTCGATCTCGCGTAATTTTACTATGCGAATATCTTATGGTACTGCTTGACATTGTGAAAGAACGTTACTTAGATACAGACTTGTCTCTTGTGTATGAAATACACATAAATAACACTAGTTTACAAGACTTTTTTTTAATTATTTTGAAAATCAGACAAAGTATTTTTTACAAATTTTTGAATGCTGAAAACGCGATGCCATAAGTCAAAGTTTTCTAACACGTTTGAGAAATAATTGACCTTTAGTGTACACAAAATGGCTTTTTTTATGGTATTTAACATTTTTTTTAAGGTTAATATTGCCTTAAAATTCTGATTAGAAGTCATGAATGTATTCATTCTCTAAAAAATGCATTTTTTTCTTTTAATATTTCATGTTTTATATAACATGTTTTATGTATCATGTTAAGATTTAAAAAGACAGGATTTTTTTAAGATAGCAAATTTTTTGCCTATGACTTTGAAGGCACATATATACTTATAATTTTTAGTGTGTTATTAATATACATATAAAAACCATACAACTTTTATTTGAAAAATCTTTTTTTAAATGTGTTTTTTTTTTTTTTTTTTTCCGAAATAATCGAAGTTGCTAGTTAGGATGAGACACTGTGAGGTGTTATACATATATATGTATAACATATAATATGTATATATATATATATAGCGGAATTACGATAAATTACGCCATGTGTCGATAGCAACACACTAGAAATTATAAATATATACTTCATCGTCTTAGGCGAAAAATTTATTATCTTAGAAAAATCCCCCTCCTACATTTAAATACTTTGCAACACGGTTAAGAAGTAAGATATTGCATTTAAAAAATGCATTTCATATGGGATGAACAATACATTCATGATCAGAATTTTAAGTTTTTACAAAAAATGTCAATAATTGCACATCTTGAAGAAACATCTTGTCTGGTTTAAAGAATTTTTTGCTGTAAACTAGTGTAGTCCGATATAAATCACGTGTATGCACGCTTGATAAAAACGCTAATTTGTTTAATGTTGACTAGTATTGAGTGAAGGAAAACAAATGGAAGAAAATACAGTTTTATATACACAATTATTATACCTCATCGACAAATCATCTTGACGTAATTCAACACTTTTACGGTGGTCTTATTGTTTCATTTTTAATTGATCGTCATTAGATTTCGTGATTTCGAATTCATCATTCATAAGAAAAGGTTTAGAATTGTCACTTTGATATCTCTCATGTACTATATGAGAAGAAACAATATTATATCAAAACTTTTAGTTTTTCAGTAACCTTGTATACAGCAATATTATAAATTTAAAACAAAATCTATTTAAAACATGATATATAGAAATAATTTAAAAAGATCCAGTTGAAGATTGATTGCTTTTGTATTGTTATTTTACTCATATATTACATGAGCCATTTGCAAAGGTATGCTCTCGATATGTAAATGAATTATATATCAGTATTCGTATTATATATATAAAACATCTTTTTTTTATGAAAGAGAGCTACCAGTTCTATTTGTCAAAATAAACACGTTAAACTTTGATGAATCATTCAACAAGAAATTGTTTACGCATTTTTATTTATTTAACCGATGTGACTTAATTATTTCATGGAAATGGTTTTCATTTCAATGATATTCTGATTTAAACAATTGTATCTTGAAATTTTAAGTAGATAATTATATTAAGTATCGTATCTAAATGGAGTATTCATAAAGAAATTTTAAACTTTAATGCAAAAATGTTTAGGAAATTCTAAGTTTTTGAAATGTTTAAAAGATTTGGAAACGTCACAGAGGCGCTTTAAAATTTTTAGATGCCCTTTTGACACTTCGGATATTTCTTGCAGTTTCGTCATTATGTGTTATCACTGATAACAGAGAAATACTCCTGCTCAACTATCAATGACATCTCATAATGATCGCACTAGCCTTATAATTCTATACAGAACTTAGTATGTAACCCCATAATATATACAAATTACAGTCTATAGTCTATATAATAGACGATTGTCTATTTCACGTATTAACGTTAAATGCAATATGAGTGCCATAATTACTTCATACATTAATAAATATACGTTTTCCTTGTACTCACGCGTAATAGAGAAAAGTAGCTAGCATCAATTTTTGTTTTCGATACGAGAATCTTTTGTTCGTAATCTATTTTTTTATGTATTTCTTGTCATATTGATATTTTGCGGATTTTAGTCTTAGAATTTGGATCAAGATTTGGATTCATTAAAATTCTAAAATTGTATCGCAGTTATCGGAAGGAGAGACAATTAAACATGCTTTATGTAGGTGTCAAATCAATCAAAATAACAGTTAATGTAAAATATCTTAAAAGGGCATCTCTCTTTATTTTTTGTCCCAATTGCGGACATATTATCTGGGATCAAAATGAAAAATTGCTTCGAAGAATAAAAACGAAACGCGTGGACGCTTCTTATACTTGATGTCGTGACATTTTCATGTCAACCGTCATAGAACGCAGTTCCCCGTTTGATGGTCGCACGTGCCGATTCGAAACAAGGAAGGAAAATGGTCCCGGTAGTGAGTCAGCCTTCAGTTTCATTATCAGTGTGCTTGTTCGCAATCATCAGCCGGCAGTTGTTACTGAGTGTAGCTCACTACCCCCGCGTCGGAAGAGATATTTCACCCTCTATCTGTCTATTAAAAACATTTGAAATGGCGCAAAAAATTTGGGGGGAACAAAGACTATCTATTTTATTCGATACTTTTCGTTTGATCTACTCGGCAAAGCTAATTATAATAACAAATTTAAACATGAAATGGATATTTCTGAGAACGAGCAATCTACAGATTCCAAGTCTGAAGTCGAATTAAATCCTTTATGACGATGGAGGAGGAACAAATACAATTATGAAAATTTTCTCATTTTAATTCCTTTCAAATTTATTAGATTGAGACAGCAATTTGGGTGGAATAATTAACTCCAAGTTAGTCCACTAACCAAGTTTACAGAGATCCTATAATTTTCTTAAATTTTGCAGCTCCACTATGATATTCTCTAAGATATTTCTTCATGTTACATGAAGTACAAGAAGATCAAGAGCATGAAGGGTTAATATCCTTAGACGTTGAACGCTCTTAAAGGATTGTCTAAATCCTCAGAGGAATAATGAATGCACCCCCTCGTTCATTCGCTCGAAGAGGGGAACGAAGAGCGGACGCTAGCGACTGTGGAAGAGGAAGGGCGGGGAGATAAGGGAGAAAGAGAGAATGTCGAGGGACCCCGTGGGGTCGGTTCCCGTGGGTATAACCCGGATCGAGCGTTCCCAGGAACGCGCACGTGACCCGCGTCAGAAGACGATCAATACGGACTTTGCGAACTCCTACACCCCACTGGAACGACGTGTCGCCCTTGTACAATCCACACACATCCTTCGCCTTCCGACGAGACCGATGGCGACGACGAACGACCATCATCCCTCCTCGCACGTGTGCGTAGATTGTTGCGCGCACGTGCGCCTGTTTAATCCTCCCATCCGTTCTCTTTCTCTCTCTCTCTCTCTCTCTCTCTCTCTCTCTATTCCTTCATACCATCCGGCTTCCGTTCCCGATATCGTTGAATCTTCACAGATTTACGGACGACTCATGGACGACACTGAAAGCGCATCAGACTGCTTCTCTTAAATTCAATCTTACTTTTAGAAAATTTAAAGAAATATATAAATATGTCTTATTTTTAATTTATAAATAATGAATGTGTATTTATATTTATTGAAAATTTTAATCTTAGCGATTATATAATATATTATTTAATCTTTTAATGAGTCAAGTTAACGAGAAACCCCAAGTTTTTTAAATAAAATCCACAAGCGCGTATGAATAATAAATTTTATTTCTTATTTAGTATATTTAGTATTTTATTTTTAGTCGCATATCGAATGTGCAAATGTATAGAAAATATTTCAAAATTGAATATTTCTTAAAGAAATTCTTTGATAAATTTCACCTTTTCTTTTGACTTTAGCTCTTAATTCTAACGATCATTTTCCATTTTCGTGTTATTGATGTTCCCAGTGTTTGATTTCTCAGAGATGTAGATTTTAAGGGATTACCTTCCTATTTGTGCCCGTTCTATTTCTACCAATCCTATTTCTGCTTCCTATTTCTGCCAATGGAAATTAATCTTGGTTCAACTTACCTTTATTTACTTTTACTCCTTTTCTAATTCTAAGAAAATATATACTCTTTAGCCTTTTCTAGTTCTTAGAAAAAAGGTGAACAATAAATTAAATTGAGATTAAAGTTAATTTACATTGATAGAAATAAATCAGGCCTTCCATGTAAGATTAATTTTTATTTCGGTTTAATTTGCTCTTTATCTTTTTCTAATTTTAAAACTTAGAAATCGTATCCATTTCTACGAAACTTGCTGTTTATTTTTTTTTAATTTATAGAATTTGAGAAAGATAAACAGTAAGTTGAACTGAGATTAAAGTTAATTTTACATAGTGAAATTAGGTCTTATGCCCGTTTCTATCAATGCAATTTAAATTTAATTAGAAAAAGATGAAGTGAGAGTAAATTGAACCAAGATTAAAGTTAATCACTGCATTTCTACATTGATAGAAACGGGTATTAGTCAATTTATTTGCGTGATCGAGATAGGATAAGTCACGATGGAACAGGAAAACGCTAGATTCGCAGGATAAAAACAAACGCACGGAGCTAACGTATAGACACAGTTTGCATTTATTTTTTCGTGTGTACGAGTGCAGTACGCCCGCGCAATGATGTACTTACAGCCTTTCAGTCTTTGCAAATATACAATATTTACGCGGGTTGAGGGGGGCGGGGAATTTCAGCACTTTCTAAATTATAATATAAGAGGCTATAACAACGACAGTGAGATAACTATACAGTAATCAATAGCAGCGATAGAGCACGAAAACTTTGATGAGAAAATAAAAACCGAGACCTTCGTCGAAATTCGAATCGCCTCGTCGAGTTCGATTTCGCATGCTCGCCGCGAAATTGTAGCCAATCCCCCGATCGATCGTCATCTCGCTCTCGTCTCCGACATCCAAAATTCGTCGATCATCGACTTTACGAGGGATAGAAAACTTCTGTTTTCTCCTCGCGCGCGCGACTCGGCGACGAGGCGCGTTCTCCAGGAAGGAAGGACCTCCGGCAAGAAAAGGCGATCGATCGACGAGACTAGCTGGGCGGGGCGGCTATGTAATTGACTCGAGTGTAATGAACGTTTTGCTCACAATCAGTGTATTCGAACGCGTGCGCGTGTTGCCGCACTCGACGCGATATCGCGTTACGATACGATCGACGATGGGAACAGGATGGACTCTCGCCGTCGGGAGACTCGAGAGTCGATCCAGTTTCCCAGTCACACAACAAGTAATTTATCAAAGAACGAACGCCAGTTGGAAACACGCGCGTCGCCTCCCATGCAGCACAGAAACTTGCGGCAACAATAGGCTTGTACTCGGCATCTTCGCCTTTTCTCTCTTCAACGTCTGAATATATATTTATTTCCTTTAAGTGCAAAAATTTTGGGTTCGCGATTTCAAACAACGCGAACAGACTTATTGCAAGCAAGTTTGCAATGTTGTTGCAATATTGCTGCCTACAACACGGTTCTCCGAGTAATATCCTAAGGACGTTCGCAGGATGTTCTCTCGAACATCCTCTGGACATCTTTAGGACATCTTTTAGAAAATTATGTTGTGCGGGTGGAATGATCTGTGCTGTATGGGGCTTCCACAGTCCGTCAATCGAGGCCTCGAAAGACCAGAGATCGCGATGAAATCGACCGCTGGTCCCGCGGCCGATTCGATCGGTGTCGCGCGGTCGGTTGGGAAAGAAAAAATTGGAATGATAAGAGAGAGAGATCCTAGGGGAGCGAAAGAAGAGGGGTAGAGGAAATTCGTGCCGGGTCCTTATAACCGTGAGAGATCTCGTGTGGAATGGCGATGAGCGTATGTACAAATGTATTTACAATTTCCCTTCGCAGAAGAGAAGGGTAAAAACCGGCGCGGGACTCGCTCTTTTTGATCAAAATGTCTCTTTGATCAAAATATATTCTCGTCTTCGGATGTAGGTGCGCCCTTTAGACCTGTGGTCTCCCGGGTAGTTTTCTCTTCCGGGCGATGATCGATACCTCCCGTGACTGCCCAAATCGAGGGTAGATCAGCGGACGGACGTCCTTTTCGAAGAGCAGAGCGATCCATCTAGTCCACGAGGAGGGTGGCCTCGATGCGACCTGTACCCTAGTGGGTTCGACCAACAGGTCACCGATCGGCGACCGTCGCGGTTACGACGGACGTCGTAGTGGTCGTCGTGGCGGTCGACGTGATGGTGTTCAGCAGGGGTTGCCTCGAGGACGACTGCGTCGCCACCGTCGACTCCGTCACCGTTGTCGTCGACGTCGTCATCGTTTTCGCGTCCTGATGCGCCGCGTTCGTCTCCTCCAGAGCGGTCTGCAGGTCGCAGATGTACTCGATCACCCTCTGGATCACTTCGAGCTTCGACAGCTTCCGCTTACGCGGCATGTCCGGCACGAGAGAGCGTAGCTTCGTGAGGTAAGCGGCCACCTCCTCGGCCTCGAGGTCGCGTCTGGTGCCGCCGATCCCCAGGCCGTTGTGCAGCACGCCGCGATGGTTGGGCGGCACTCTGCCGCTCACCGGGCTCACCACCATCGCCTTCATGCAGGTAGCGACGATCAGAAAATTACACGGCCGGAATCGATCGATCCGGCGTTCGCTCTTTCCTCTCGACCCTCGCTCGCGAGCACACTGCCGCTGCTGGGTGATCGTTCGACGACAGCGCGTCACCGCACACACACATACACACCACCCACCGCGCGTGTGCCTATCGATCGCCGGAGAAGAGCTGTGCGTCGAACACCAAAGGCGTTAATGCACGTGAAGAGCGAAGAGCGGACTGAAACTGCCTTTTGCGTCCTGTTTACTTTGCGTCTCCGTGGAGCGATGTCTCGTGATTTCTCTGATCTATCTCGTTGGTCGATCAGGTGTGGAACCACATGCAGGATCACGCACTGGTACTAGTTTCACCGACCAGCCACATCATCCTCGAGCGACAGCTACGCGCCAAGTATGATGACGAACTGATGCGATCGAGCGTATAATGGAGCTGAACGCACAGCCGGCGGAGTACTATACACGGATCGTTTGACAGATCGGAGCCGACTGGCCTCCGCCCCTCACCTGCGTCTTTTTATAGCCTTGCCCCACCCGGCTCCCCGCGCATACCCTCCAGACGCTTCCAGCATTTGTACGGCGCAATCGCTGCCCGAGTGGAGTAGCGGTGGCTTCGAGCGTCACGCGATCTCTTCTTCTTGTTGACCGACTGGCTACGTATTATGGAACAAATCGGAATGAATTCCAATGAAAATTCCGTCATTGTCTCAACAAAAAAAATAGAAATTTAGAAAATTATTGAAAAATCGGAATAATTCTACAATACGTACTCTGATCGGAATTTTCCAATTTTTCCCAATTTTTAATGCGACTTGCAGAAAGTACAACTCGTAACTTGCGTTTTATGAGAATCTCTCTATCGCAAGTACTTTCGATGAGGAAGAATTATTTAATTTTTACGTAGAAACAGAAAGAATCGAAAAACAAAAAATTCGAAATAATTTAAGTATACTGAAAGTAACGATTTAAAATAATTAAAAGGTGCCAGAAGATTATCAAATCGATTGTCACATAAATTCGCAATTATAAATTGCAAACGATTTATAAAATTGATGAACTTTTCGCAAATCAATTAAAAACCGCCTTTTATAATTGCAAAATTCTTATAATAATAAGAAAGCTCTTATCATATTATTTTGCATAAAAAATACGTGACTGAATTAAAACAAATTTGATTATCTGATTAAGAAAGTAAAATAGCTAAATAATAATTATTAATTACTACAAGCTACTAATAACTATACCAATAACTTATTAATTATAGTTATTAATAATTGCTAATCGCCACTAATTAGTAAAATGATTAAGTGCTTATTGATAACTAATTAATTATTTAACTAATTATTTAAAAATAATTAATTGAATAATTAAGTAGTCATTACTAATTGGTTAAGTAGTTATTAGTAACTAATAATACTATCTTATTTTGTTATTAAGGCTGAGGAAACAATCAAGATCGACGCGTTTAGAAATATACATAATGAATGAGGGGATCGTCGGATTTCGCGTGAAAATCGCACGTGAGGTCCGATTCGAAGCTATCAGTAGTCGGGGGTGTTTGACGACTGTGCGACTGGCGGCGTCGGTGGAACACGAGGGGAGTGTAAAAGGGAGGAGGGAAAGGGGAGCACTACCATTGTTGAACGTCCGGCGGCGCCAGCCACTAGCCATCACGGCTACCACTACCACGTAAGCACCGTCATCACTAACACTGTAACAGGCGGTCGACCGACCACCACCACTATCCCGGGCTCTATGTACTCGACTTGCACGGTGATGGTCACTCGCTAACCTGTGCACCATGATTCCGGCCGTGCGATTTTCTCGCGGCGGCGAACGCTGCGCGAACAAATTTGCGCGCTCGTATTCCGATTATTTACGTTGAAATCATTACGCGTTACATAAATGCGTCGCGTCATGGACGCAGCTTTATACATATTGCATATATATATAGACATTCTCTCTCTTATTATAGAGACAATAAAATAATTCTGACAATTCTGGAATTGTAATATCTACAATTATTTTTGTAAACTTTGTGGAAACCGAAAAGATATCAAAATATCAAAATCACGGGAACAAATAGAGTAATTTAAAGATATCTGATAAATTGACTCTAATTGATTACATCTAATTAAACAAGAGAAATTCTATATTTGATCAAAACAAATTTTAGTTCACAGTTTGCAGAATCAGATAAGTTACATATAAATTCACGCAAACACTAAGATTCACTTTCATCGAATAAAGGATTTCTTTTGTTTAATTAGATTTATTCTCATCGATTCAAATTCGTATCATAATTGTCTAATTCGACTGAAATTATTTTTCTTTAGCCCCAAAGAAACATCATATTCGACTTTATTCAAACTGCAATTTGACAAGAATTATTTCGAGCGACTCAATCCCTTTAGATCGAATATTTTGTTCAAAGTGACAGCGTCGCGATTACACTCGAAACATCCATTTTAAAAAAAGCTTTATTCATAAATACGTCTTTTTTTTAAAAGCCCACTTCGACATCGCTCTTCCTCGTGACAACTTCTACTAGTTTAAAGCTTCAGACACAATGCGAAGGAATAGCGATAGCGATAGAAATAACACAATTTTAACCTATCAGAAATCAGATACAATGGAACATACAGTTTCTGATAGGTTGAAATTATGTTATTTCTATCGCTATTCCTTCGCATTGTGTCAGATGCGTGGTCTGCAATGGGCAGTAGCAGTAGTGGATTAAGGAGTAGGCGCAGAAATCAACCAATCATAGTCGAATGTGAGAAGGATAATCAACTATGATTAAGCGTCGTCTATAATATGTGAAATAAGCTTGGTTTAAGAAGTAAGAGTAAGAAATTGACCAATCACAGTCGAACGTGAGAAGAATAATTGACTGTGATTGGTCAATTTCTTACTCTTACTTCTTAAACCAAGCTTAGTGTATTGTAGACGGGCCATTAGTCGATTTCTACACCTAGTCCTTAATCCATTATTGCTACTGCCCATTGTAGACCACGCATTATAGGCTTTAAGCCCATGGCACATACAAAAACGTAAGGCAGTAAGACGTAAGCAGTAAGGAAATGGTAACGTTGGATTTGCTACTGGCCTTACGGTCTCTCCTGTGATTGGCCAATTTGCTTACCGCTTACGTGTTACTGCCTTACGTTTTTGTACGTGCCATAGGCTTTATATTCCACACATTCGTTCGGCTTTATTTGGAGCCGCCACGCAAATATCGTCCCTCGGACAGCTCAATCTTCCCCAGCGAATATCCCGCTCGAGGCGATGGCATCGTCGCGATTACATCGTACTTTGTGTCTTCCGTCTTGCTCTTCCCGGCTCACGTGCTCGCACGTAAACGCTTCGTGACTCCGTGGCGGAGTCTCGTTACCGGTTGTTGAAGACAAGAATCCGCCCGATGTCCGGCGCTATGAACGAGTTGAATAAAAACAGAGAGGTGGCTGCGCCTGCCTCTCAATAGGAGAAAAGAGAACGAGAGAGAAAAAGCGAGCCGACCGGACTAGCGGCGACACGCTTCGTAGAATTTCCAGGCGACGTCGATACGCGCGCCCCGGAGCTCGTCCGAAGAAGCCGGTCTATGGAGACAATTGAGGGCAGCGGGGTGGACACGCGGAATCATTGACAACTGCTCGCGAGATACTCTGCTAGCGATCTGCTACAGCTGCACCGAGAGCTCTCTCCTTTCTTTATCTTTCTCCAGAAAGATTCCCGGACCGCGCGAATCATCGATATGTACACAGAGAGAAAAATGTTTGGTATTTGTAACTATAATTATATATTACTATAATTATGATTATTACTGCTATAATAATAATAACAGTAACTATATATATAGTTCCAGCAACAAATGTATATGCCAATTATATACATTTGTTGCTGGAACTATATATATACTGTTATTATTATTACTGTTATTATTATTATTATAGGAGTAATAATCATAATTATAGTAATATATAATTATAGTTACAAATACCAAACATTTTTCTCCCTGTGTACGGTGACCATATTTTCTTAAAGAAAATAAAGGACAAATCTGAAAATTTTAGGACTTTGTCCCTACATATTTTTAAACCAGTTCGTGATTGTTAAAAATTTGTGCATTATAACATTTTATTGCACAGCATAATTAAATAAAGATAAGGCGCAGTTTTCTGATAGTTTAAAACTGGTTCGACTGTATTGGAACAAACCTTCTGAAATAAAAAAAGGTTCGAAATAATAAAAAATGAAAATAACTCTTGTTTGAATAATTTTAATTTAAAAAATTAAGAAATATAATAAACAAAAACAAATTGTATTTATATGCATAAAACTGTAAGATATTTCCCGTAAAAATTTACTCTCATTGATGTAATATTATAGACATAGACATTGGAATGCTAGTTAGAAAAGAATTTTCCGTAATGTCAAAACAAAGGACAGTAAAAGACAATATTAGAAAATAAAGGACAAAATTGAATTTTGAAGAAATAAATAAATCTAAAGGACAGTTACCTAAAAAAAAGACTGTCCTTTATAATAAAGGATATATGGTCACCATATCGATATGTGCATTAATAGCCGTAAATCATCAAACTTTATTATATATATATTAACCATCTGGAAGTCAAAATCTGTAATACAGTTAATTGATATTGAATCTGTAAGATCCATTTAATTTAATACAAATAATAATTAACTGGATTAAAACAAAATAAAATATTAATATTCGTGGCGCTCCAAGAATAAATTCAATACAATTAAAATACCTACGTAAAATACTTCTGTGGTTATTGGTGCGTAAATTATATATTCATATGCGATAAGACACAATTTGCAACGAAGTAAGTTTATACTTGATTTCCGCACTGAAGAAGATTTCAGTATAGAGTCGAAAGAAACGTTTACGTTTAATTTAACTTCGTTTGGTAAGTACATCCCAATTAGTTGCGAATTGTATCTTATCGCGTTTGAATACATAATTTACGCACCAATAATCTTGGAAGCTCATATAGGTTTTAATTATATTGGATTTATTCTTGGAGTCGCAAAATATTATTTTATTTTATTTTTTTAATTCATTCAATTTATATTAAGTAAAAGGCACTAATTAATTTCAAAGAACGAAAATGACAATTCATATAAAAAAGAATGAATATTAAGTATTTTTAATAAGAATAATCCAAATTTTTGCATTTTTGCAGATATAACATAAAGAAGATTGAAATTCTCGACAAAAAGATTTATAATTGACCCAGCATCAACTTTAGAGAGTCAAAACAACAATCTCCATCGTATCTTTTAAGAACACATTTCTGTACCTAAAAATCTAATATTAAATCAGAAATTATCATTTTGCGTAATAATTTACAGTTAAGAGGACACACTCCATTAACTTTGATTGATATCTGTTTATTCGTGATACTTCAATCTGTGTGAATCTCTTCCAAACGATACCGGTATCAAAGTAATCGTATATATTAATTCAAAGAAAATTCAT